TTCCACCTCAACATTAGGAAGAACTTCCTGACAGTGAGATCTGTTCGATAGAAGAACATGTTCTCTCAGAGAGTGGTGGAGTCTCCTTCTTTGGAGGTCTTTAAATAGAGGCTGGATGGTCATCTGTCAGGGATGCATTGATTTTGAGTTCCTGCATGACAGAATGGGTTGGATTGGATGGCCCTTATGGTCTCTTCCAACTCTATGATTCTATGATTCTATGAATAGATTGTACCCATTTCTCTCATCCTTTCCCAATCGTCTTTCAGCTCACAATAACCCTCTGAGATACAGGGCTGGCTCTGTCATTTGGCAGGGGGTGGCAGTTGCCTCAGGCAGCTGATTCTGAGTGTCAGGAAAGGGTAGAACATTGCTAGTTATTTAATTTATCACAACATTATTACTGCTAGGGAGAAGAGCTTGTGTTCTGCTGTTGAAAAAAACCATTGGCTATAGGGTTGAACAAATGGGGCAGAATAGCATGGTTTCATCCCATGCTATTCTGGCCCCGGTGCCACAGCAGTTGCAGACACATGAAAGGTTGATATAGGATTGTTTCTTTTCAAGGATTGTTGAACAAGCTTTCTATCACTCCAAAACTGTAAACAGTCAAACTCCATCAGCCTGTTTCTCCCAGTGGCCAACTGGAAATCTTTGGGAAGCTCCAAAGCAAGATTTAAAAAAAAAAAAAAACATTTATAATCTGTTTTAATATTGCAGTTTTCTATCTATGGTTTATGCTGCTCAGAAGTATTTGTTGTTGCTGTTGTTAACTGCCCTGGAGTCGATCTTGATTCATGGAAACCCTATGGATGAGACATCTCCAAGACCCTCTGTCCTCCACTGCTCTGCTTAATTCCTGAAACCCCAGATATATAAAAAGTCAGAATCTATATTTAATATTATCATGTCAAAACATAACCTTCCAATTTGTGAGACCTTGTGCCTCCAGAGACAGTGTTGCCAACCACTTGCAGACAGGAAGAGGGGAGCTGAAAATTTCTTTTAAAAAATCACTTTTTAGAAAGAAAGAAAGAAAGAAAGAAAGAAAGAAAGAAAGAAGACCCACAATGTTGCCTCTTTGACTTTCAACATTTATGACCTTTTACAAATTTCATATGGGGATACAAACATCCCATCGTGTCAGCCTGGGTTTGATTGGAATTGAAATCCCACAGGGAGGCAAGGAAGGAGAGCAAAATGCAATAAAATCTCCCAATTTCATGTTAAACCATTGACATTTTAAGAAGAACTAAACTGGCAGTCGTCAGTCTATTGTGAGTGACACTGAAGCAGAAATTTTTCAGTGAAGGTCATGGTGCTAGAAGCAAAGATGGGAGCATTCTAGCAATACCGGACACACTACCATTGGTTTTGGTATAGGCAAAGTTTGGAAAGCTACTTTTTGAAAGTAATTAATTCCCATTCAAGTTCCAACCCCAAGCCCCCACCAGCAACAATTGCCATTATATTTACTATTTAAAAGGAGCTTTGCTGCCTCTTTTCTCAAAAATGACCAATTAGTTTTTCTTTATTGTTGTTGTTGTTGTCCTGCCTTCTTCCCAATACAAGGACTCAAGGCATCTTTTATTAATTTCTATCCCACTCTTCTCCAATATGGGACTCAAAGGGGCTTACACTGTATGTTAAAACAATATACATAAAAGAATATGTAGTGCAAAAATTTTAAGAAGCATTAAACTGCGATCCATTTAAAAACATTAATTTAGAACCATTAAGAACATCTTGAAACCTTTTACAAATCAAAACCCAGCCCATTCATTCTGCTACACCAACCAACTAAATGCTGAGGGTCTGTATAACTAAGGCTGCATCCGCACTTCAGAAATAATCCAGTTGGACACCACTTCGATGCCCATGGCTCAATGCTATGGAACGGATATGAGCCAGAGCTCTCTGACAGAGAAAGCTAAATGTCTCTCAAAACTATCATTTCCATAACTATCATTCCCATAATTCCCAGTCAAACAGTATTATTTCTGCAGTGCAGATGCACCCTTGGAAGGTCTTTGCCTGCCAGCCAGAGAGAGGGGCAACCCAGCCCCTCTTGCAAGAGGCTTCCATCACTGAGGAGCAGCCACCAAGGAGGCTTTTCCCAAGTCCTCACCAGATATATCCAAGAGAAAACCTTTCCCTAAAGATCTCAAAACTCAAGTAGGGTCCTATAGAGAGACAGGGTCATTACTAGGAGGGTGCACCCTACAAGAGGTGACACCACTGCTTCCCAAACATCTGCCTTTGGGTAGAAATGGGCTATGGCATTCACCTGTGTCCCTTTAAATGTTGAAGAGATGGTGTGAGTGGGGAAAGGCTCAGTGAGGGGGGAAAGGGAGAGTTCCTAGGTTTTAAAAAAAATAACTTTTTAAATTGTTTTTTTTTATTTGAAATTTGAAAAATAATAACTTAATTGTTCTTATTTTTTTAAAAAAAACATCACTTCTTAGAAATTTTTCACTTTAACCACATGAAACTTTGTAATGCAAATACATGTAGGCTGTGCACATAATACTGTAATTTAAAGTTATCATTTTCATTATGCTAGTTGTTTATGTCACAACTATTACCATTACATGCAGCAATACGAGGGGGTATCGTAAAGTTTTAATTGTCGCCTTTAAAAAAATTGATAGAAAGTTTATTTTGATTTGTAGTTGCTAACTTATCTCTGTGTAGTCACCATCCAGATTTACACATTTGGTTTAAGGTGCAATCTGCATTTCCTGATCCTCTGAATACCATTATTGTAGAAGTCTGCAGATTGTGCCTTGAACCACTCTTCCACTTCATGAATGGTGTTATCTGTGTTGTCAAGTAGGCAACTCCACAATGGCTTTTTCATTTTGGGGGAAAGAAAAAGTCACTCAGTGATGATGA